CTTGTTCTTACCCTTTTTTCACTTTTTCATTTTGCAAATACAGTAGTCCTCTCTATCCGCAGGGTATACATAGCAAGCCCCCCCCCCCCAGTGGATGCCTAAAACCACAGAGAGTGCCAAAACCTATACATACAATGTTTTTTCAATATGTGCGTATCTAAGATAGAGTTTAATGCCTTTTCTATCTTAACTAAGCACTTATCCTGCACTGTGGCTGTAACTTTTGCACCATGATTGACACATAGTAGGCCTCAGATATCTGTGTCCCTGCTCTCCAAAGGAGAATAGCCCTACCTGCTACCAATGTTGTTCTGAAGAGTAAATGGAACAAAGCTCTCCAAAGTGTGGATCCAACATCAGGTCAGTCTGGTTCAGTCCTGGACCATTCTCTAAAGACCTGGGTATTTCTCAAGCAGGCATGGAGCAGAGGGAAGGGAAGAGGGTTCTTGTGGGTTGGCAGGGATCTCCTTGCTGTGGGACTCACAATGGGAGCCTTGTGTGGGAGTGGTGGCAGGATGCCTTGTGGGACAGCTGGGCCCAGGGCTGCCAGGCTTGGGCTGAGCTGGGCTGGGCACTCAGCCACAGGCAGCCCTCTGAGGGTCCTTTCATCTGAGTCCCAGCTGCCACTTGCCTTGCTGGCCCAAAGCCCAGCTGCCTGTAGAGGAGAGGGGCTGGCAGCTTTGTCTCAGGAAGAAGAACAAAGAGTGGGGTGACCGGGAGGAGGGCAGAGGGAAGCAGTGCTTGCTCTTGGAATCGGGCCAAAGGAAAACAAGATCCAGTCATAGGCAACACCAAAGAGCTGTTTGAATTCCTTTGTTGCCGTAGCATCAAGCAAGACAGGATTGCAGAAACTATCTTAGACAGCACCCCAATCCCCACCGTGTTAGAAGTGGACAGCTGAGGCCCAGGGAGGGGCAGAGACTTGCCAAAGTTGACACACAAATGGCAGAGCCAGAACTAGAACCCCGGTCTCTTGTTTCCCTGTGATGAAGGGATCCTCATACATAAAGTGGAGGTGCTAATTCCTATTTTAAATGTTGAGGGTCAAATAAATGTCCTAATGGCTATAAAAGGAAGAGAAGGATCATTTGAGTCGGTCCTTGAAAGTTATATAGGAGTTTTCCAGAGAGAATGAGCTGGTGGGGAAAGGCATTCTGGCAGAAGGAACAGCATAAGCAAAGGTAGGAAGGCATGAGAGTGCAGGTCGTGTTTCAAGGCAACTGGGGCTGGAGGAGAAACAGAAAATAGGACTAAAAGCCTAGGCTGCTTGGTACAGTCAGAAGTGCACACTATCCATTCAAGTGTCCAGTCCTACTTTCTGGGGTGATGACCCTTCAGAACTCAGCTTCCCTGTGGAATCATCCTGACCCATGAAGCTGATCAGCCCCCTGGGGAGAGTGGGACTATAAGTAAGAGGAAGTGAACAGATGGGCTGTGCTGAGCCTGTAGGAAGATCCCCAACCAACACACAGCAGGCAGGGAAGCCTGCCTTGAGGAGATCACAGCTGCCTCCCCATCGCTCAGTCCCATTTGCAGAGTCATAATGTTCAAGGTACATACTTTGTCCAGCATTTCTGTCCCTTTGGGCTGCTATAACAAAAGTACCATAAACTGGGTGGTTTCTAAACAACAAATATTTCTTTTTCACAAATCTGGAGGTTGGAAGTCCAAGATGATGACTCTGGTAGATTTGGTGTCTGGTAGGAGCCCACTTTTTGGTTCATTGATGGCCATCTTCTTGCTGTGCCTTCATATGGTGGAAGAAAGGAACGAGGAAACTCTCTGGGGCCTCTTTTATGAGAGCACTAATTCTATTCATGAGAGCACCCTCATAACCTCCCAAAGGCCCGACCTCCTAATACTATCACATTGGGCATTGGGTTTCAACATATGAATTTTGGAGGGACACATACATTCAGATCATAGCACCTAGATACAAAACAATTATTCATGGTCACAGAAAGACAATTTTGGAGTAAAAAAGAAATGGGGCCTGAGCTTGGCTCTTTTAGTTACCAGCTTGTGACCTTTTAACCATTCACTTCTTTGAGCCTCCGTTTCCTCATCTGTCGAGTAAATCTAACTGCTTGGAAGGATTGATACAAGGATCTGTGTTCAGTGCAGTGCTCAGCACATAATCATTTACTTCCATTTCCCTTCTTCACTTGGCACAGCTGACCCCTGTGCTGGGAAGAATTCCCTACAGGCCTCTCTCAACAAACCTCTCCCTCCTTCAATATCCAGCTTACTTGCCACCTCTTCCATGAAGCCTTCCCAAATTCCCCAGATTGAAAAGCTGACTTCATCCTGGAATACCTAGTGCTTGTCTTACGGTGCTGCCTTTTCCGTTCCTCCTTTATAGTTTTTCATGTTCACTGAAACTAGTGACACAATAATCAATAATTGTCCCTCTCTGTTTCAACCCCCACCCTACTGAATAACCAATGGTAACACCAGTGTCTATCATTCTACACCTTTCTGATTATTTGCTCACATAAATAGATAGAAATTTATAGAAGAGGTTTGTTGTTTTGTGTTTTTATACAAATGGACTCCCACTGTATACACCACTCTGTTATTTATTAATTTATTGACACATAAATTAACCCCTTTTTTATAGGATAGCAATGTTTCAAATTGTGGAGCTTCTACTGGTCTTTCGATTCCTTCAGTCTTCTGATGGCAGACTTTACTGTGAGGGCAGAAGTGGTGGTGTAGGTTCAGGCACCACCGGCTACTGTTTCATGCAGGAACCGCAGTGCCAGATCCCACAGCTCGTCTTTTCATCTTGGTTTGGCTACAGAAGGAGCAAGTGTATTTGGAGTGCTGACTGATTCGATTTTCTTCACAATAGTGAGGGAGGCGCCATAACAAGTCCCATATTTCCGACCTTCTTGGTGTGTTTAGCCATGTTGCCTTGAACTAGGTCAGAACCCAGAGAGCTCCGATATTTATTTTTAATTGCTTAATAAATCATGGATGAATGAACAGATGTAGGATCTACTTCATTCTTTTAAATAGTTGCATAGTATTCCAAGGCATGAACAAATCATGATTTATTCAACCATATCTCTTTGTTTCTAATTTTTGCCACTACGAACAAACCAGTGATAAACATATTTGTTCGTATATCCTTTCAGAGTTCTTTTATTTCTATTAGATAGATTCTCAAAAGTAAAAATACTGAGTCAAATGATGTCTATGTGTTGCTGTTTTTCTAGTAGATATTGCCATATTATTCCCTCCCCCCCAAAATCACAGCAGTTCACATTCCACTCAATAAGTTTGAGGAGCTGTTTTCCTGCATCCTTACCACATGTGGCATATTATTATTGTTAGCAATATTTGACAAAATGATGAAAAACAGTACAACATTGTTCCCTTTATTGCATGTCCTCAACCCCTACTAAGTTTCAGCAACTTTTCATTTCAGTCATTTTATTTTTTCATTTCTAGCAGTTCTATTTGGCATTTTTCAAATCTGCCTGGTCATTTTTGATCATATCTTCTTGCCCTTCACTCATGTTTTAAATACATCCTTATATTTATTTAAGCACATTAAACACATATTCTATATCCAGTAATCTCAGTATCTGAGGTGGTTGTGGATCTGTTGACTCGTGTGCAGGGTAACCTTGTTTCTTTTGTGGCTTGTGACTTTAGATTGTGAGCTTGCGTTTGTTGGACTCTATTTGTGTGGAGTCTATGAGGTTTGATTTGACTGCACTTTTCCTACAGGAAGAGTTTTTATTTTCTTTGTCAGGCATTTGGGGGCACTACCAACCCAGGTCCATTTTAAATGAAATTTCTGTGTCTTTAATAAATAAATAAATAAATAATAAATAAATAAATAAATAAATCTACATTAAATTAAATTTCTGATTGTTGTTGCCAGTTTTGATCAGGAAAAAAGTGACTATTGGGCCACCAGATCTGCTTTAGCTCTAGCTTATATATAGCCAAGCATTTTCAGGGAAGACTGTTCTCCATCCAGAATGAGACAGGTAGGTTTCCACAGCACTCACTTTTGAGTGGCACATTTTTATAGAGGAAAGGGGGGGGCGCAGTTTGGAGGGGCTGTTACAAACAGTCCATTGAAGGAAACTGGGAATTCAAAATGTACTGGCTTTTCATTGGCTAAGTTTTGACAGACTGTCATTGGCTGAGCTATTGCCAGGCAAGGAGAAAACCTTCCTTTCTCCTACTAGGGTAATAAAATAGAAAACATCGCTGGTCCCCGCGTGGCTCAGCGGTTGAGGATCGACCTAGGATCCAGGCGGTCAGGGTTCAGATTCCTGGTCAGGGCAAATGCACGGTTGCGGGCTCGATCCCCAGTCCGCGGTGTGCAGGAGGCAGCCGTCATCTCTCATCATTGGTGTTTCTATCTCCCTCTCCTTTCCACTCTCTGAAATCAATAAAGATAAATTAAAAAAAAATAAAAAATAGAAAACACCTTCCTGTTGGAGCTGCACGGTATCCATTTCTCCCAGTTTAGGGGTAACTGATCATGAGTAGTAAAGCTTGAGAGCCCCCCTACAGGCTGTAGGGACTCCAACTTTAGTTATTTTCACGGTTTTAACAAGCAAAATAACCCACGCAACAGGTATCTTAGCTCTTTCCTTCCCAGGTCATGCTTTGTACTTTTAGCAGCGGATCTGAGGTGGGTAAATAGTCCACAATGGCCACTCTATCTCCTGGAGCCTCACTTTTCTCATCTGTAAAATGGGTGCTGGTGATCCGTCACCCCAGGGCTATTGTGAACAGAAAGTTTCCCGCTTTCAGTGTCAGTTCCCTCTGCCTCCCGTTTGGCTGTCGGGGAACTCCGGGATGAGAGACCGGGAAGTGACTCACTAGGTTCTCACTGGAAGTCAGGCCCATTCCAGGCCAATGGGGGTTCTAACCACACCCTGGGTCCAGCCTCCCCCACCCCAGGGCTGGGAGCAAGGCCACTTCCTCCGGTTACAGGCACCTCGCACGTGGCGTCCGCGCGGTGCCAGCTGCCTGCAAGGCCAGGGCGATGGACCCCACCTCGGAGCCCCGCTCCCAGCCGGCCTTCCGCACGGCCCCCCCGCCAGACGTGAGTGCGCCTGTCCTGTCGCTGCTCCCTCCTTTCACTCCCTCTGGTGTCCCGGGTCCCCCGTGCCCCCCCCCGGGGGTCTGCGTCCCCCAGGGGTCTGGAGCGCGGTCTCCCCCTCTGGCTGGGCGCTCTGCTCTCCCGGCTGTTTCTCTGGCTCCCCGCCCCCGCACCACGGTCTCCGTTCCCGCCCTGGCTCAGTCCGGCCTCCCCTCTTTGCCCTCTTTCCTGCTTGGCTGCCCCCACCCCCCCTTCTCTTCTCTTTGTTTTATTTCGCTGCTCTGCGTGTGTCCTCTCTCTGCCCTCTGGCTGGTCCGAGTCCACCGCGCTTCTGCCGTCTCTCCCTT